ACACACACACACACACACACACACACACACACACACACACAGAATTACCACAGGGTTTCTCAGAAACGCTCACTACCTCAGCACACCCACCTGGCTTTACAAACAGTCAAAAAATAATCAGAAGTGGGTGAGGGGCAATGACAGAAGAGAAACTGTATCACGGGTGAGAAACAAATTGAGAACTAGAGTGGAGGGAACTCAGATGGGGAAGATTTGGGGAGAGATGAGGGAGATTGAAAGAGGACAATGAAGTAATGTGACAGATAAGGTCAAGCAGGGAAAGACATTGAGACAAAAAAGCCCAGATAATTTTTGATATGATTTATGATACACGAGGAAGAGTTGTTGAAAGATGGAAAGACAGAAAACAATGAAGGTAATTTGCACCATGCTGCCTTGATGTGGGTGAAGGATGAAGAAAAGCATGACCTTGTGATCTCATAACCACCAACATGCTCTTCTGAAGCTCCACTGTGTGTTTGTGTGTGTGCGTGTGTGTGCGCATGCATGTACCCATGTGGTTGCCTGCGTAGGCGTTTGTGTGCATTTCTTGTTTGTGTGCTGTATCATAGCGTGTGTGTGTGTGTGCGTTTTTACTTACCGTGCTCTTATGTGTGCTGTGTATGTCTGTCTGTGGTGTGAAGACAGACAGGTCCCCATTTAGGATAACATCGGCCAGGGCGTCGACCAGTGGCCGATAGTGGATGATCAGAAACACCTGGAAAGACACATTGGAATTAACTTTTACAAAAACCTCTTTACAACGAGAGCTGTTAATTAAAAATAATGAAAGAAGAAGACATTTCCTGAGTGATGACGCTGCTTAACAACTGTCTGATCTATTTATGTGTGTTGCTTACTTGGGACAGCAGGTACAAGGACACCTGAGGGTTGATTTTTCGCTCCTCAGACTGAAAAACAGAAGATGAAAAGGTCAAGTCAAGGTCTTAGCAGCTACAGTAAAATGCATCATGAGCTGAGAGTGGAGAGATACAGCACGGAGCTGGAACAACCTAATTGTTTGATAATATTTTAATAGTTTAATGGACCACACCTATGATTAAGGATATTACACAAATAGGCCACTTGATTAGTGCGTATACCTTTGTTTAATTTCTCATTCGGTGCCGTTCCTAGACAGTCTATTAAAATGGACGAAATGATTAATACCTTGTGCTTAGTCCACCCAAACACTTATCTGAGGGAGTTTTTCCTCTCCACAGTCACCAAAGTGCTTGCTCATTGTGGAAACTGTTGGGTTTCTCTATATTTAGATTTTAAGGTCCTTCTATGTAAAGTGCCTTGAGATAATGTATATTATGATTTGGCGCTATACAACTAAATTGAATTGAATTTAAATCATTTTTAATTCTTTATGACATTTTTTATTTTGTTTACTTTTTTCTGTCATCATTTCAGCAGGACAATTAGTTCTGTCTTGGATCATTTAGCATAAAATTGTGATTTGACGGACGAATTCAGTGTTGATATGTTTTAGAGGTAGAAGTTTTCTGCGTTTAACCTCTTAACATCATTGTCAGTTACACGTGTACATTAGGGTAACATACTGTCTCAGGGATGACCAATGAGTACACATAGAGGGGCAGGAACAGACGGTTGAGGAGGTGGTCCGTCAGCACGTCATTCAGAAATTCACAGTTGATGATGAGGATGTCGTTGAGGTAGTGGAGGTGGTCGAGGTGCTCCGCTACCAGGTCACTTAACTTTCCCCGGTTCTTATGTCTGAGACACAAAAAAGAAGAGAAAAAGAAAGACTCCTAGATATTATCACGGTAATGCAAGCGGTCAAGTTTTAAACATGTAACGTTGTGGCTATAACACAAACAGCATGACGTACAGAAAACTGTTCCACTTAAGAAATTAAGTCCATATTCGCTGTCAAGATGATAAAACTATATTATCATGCAATTTATAATTTGGAGAACTGTCACCTAATGAGGCCACCGAGAGAATTACACTGAGAAAGAGACGGAACTCACTCTTCATCTGTCTGCACACACTTGTCCAATTCGATGACATGGCTGCCAATAAACCACACCAGGTTGCTGAAATATGGGACCGCCGTCTTATCTCGGATGTAGTGCAGCATGTGCTGGTTGTCCACTGAGGAGAGTGGGGTCAGGAAGACATGTTGTGACAAGGGCTGCTCATGGTGTCTCTCGTACACATGCAATTCTTAGTCCAAGAAAATTACCCAAATGTGACCAGAAAATACAAAACAAAAAGTAAACATTCAAATCAAGTGACAAATTCAGAAAATAAACCCACCACATGAAGTCAAATTAGGTCCAAGAATTGATTCAAACATTTGAATTTTGCAAATGCAAAATAAAGGGAAACCCAGCGGAGAAGAGGAAACAAATTCTGTTTTTAAATTGAAACAATACCAGCACGAGTTGGGTCTCACATGGTGTAGGTGGACAAATGAAAACTGCTTTTCCAACCTATTGTTTCCACTTTCTCAATAAGAGCCTTCTTTAGACAGGAGAAAGATCTGAGCCGGATTAGATCCAACATTATTAGCAGTAGCAAGAACTTCACTAGTAGTAATCTAATTCACAAGATTTATCATGGTACAATGTTAAAAAATGCAAAACCTCAATGCTGCTTGAAGGTCTACATTATAAAAAGCCCTGATATAAGGTTGTATTATACCAGAACTACTAAAGTGAAACGGAGGGGTATACAAAAAAAACCTGGTTGTACTTTCAAAATGCCAATCCAGTAACAAAATTCCAGTGTAAAAGTGGATGAACTGAGGTTAAAGACAGAGGAAGAATCTGACTCAATAACTGCAAAACCTGTCAAACCTGTCGTGAGCAACATGAGGCCCTCAGCTGAAATTAAGTCTGTGGAACAATTAACCCAAGAAAAACCAAATTAAAAAAAGGCATGCAGGTTTTTCGTAATGTATGCATGTAGGTAGGTGATACAGAATGGTAGAACGAGAACTGCAAGGATATTCATACCAGTACATTTACAACAATCAGGTATAAGTAGGGCTGGGTATCACTAAACACGCATGTAATACCTCATTATAACAAATTTTGTAATAGCTTTCAATTGGAGGCATTAAAATCAACCTATATGGCAACCCTCATATTACATGACAACTGAAATCAGCCACTGACATAGGTTTAAAACTTAATGTAACACTAAGAGTTGTATCTGCATTGATGTACAGTGTGAACAATTGGTAAACGTGTAAAGAAACTAACAACAAAACATGTTTTTACAATACCCAGCCCTAAGAAAAAGTCTAAATGAATGGAACCAACTTACATGAAACTGGAGTTAGGCAGATGGGGCGCGTAGAGGGAGGAGGAGGAGGAGGAGGAGAGAGACAAAGAGAGGAGTAGGAGTGGTTGTTGAAGAGGAGGAGGGAGAGGGGAAACAGACACAGGGTTAATGTGAGTAAAGGGGTGGCTGTGGGGGGGTCGGGGAGGTGGGAAGGACCCTGCAGGTATCTTCACAAATAAAACTACAAACAATGACACACCTTGAAAAGGAACATTTACTTCACCATGACTCTGCACTTTTCTTTTGTGTCGTTACACAAGCAGCATTGCGAGACAATTTCTACAATATTTCTACAATGGTTACTCAAACTATGGGAGTTACAGAGTCAAGACTTCATCGGCGGTGTAGGAAAGTGAGGTTGCACAAGTGTTACATGCAGGACAAGACATACTACAGATAAAGAGACACAGGAAGCCGTAGATGTGCTGCAGTAACTGTATAATGAGGCGGTGTTGTGTCATGTCTCGTCAAGAGAGGTGTGATGTGAAAGAAAATCCGCCCAAAGCACCACCTGCTTCTCCGGGAGTGACAACGGCCTTGAGGAGCCCAGAGAGGCGGCAGGCGGGAGAAGCAGAGGCTGACGCAGCACCGTGCACGAGAGTGAGCTCATTTACAAACAGTGATTATGTGAATGAGATCAGTGAAGCAGAAACTGAACACTAACAAAAGACAGATAAGTTGATAACCTGCTGGATCGTCTCCAACATCTGAAATGTCTTGATAAATGTATATTTCTCTTATTTAAAAATACTTTACAATATCACTGCAGCAGATGTTAACTGTGGAAGAGGAGGAAACGATGACACAATGAATGGAATGCAGCTGATTTGTGATAAAGATGAAATGTGGGTAAATATTTCTAGCAGACAGTGTGTTTGTTATTTTAGGAATATGATGGTGGCTGAATATCCTTGTTGGGCTTTTGCAATAGAAAAAGAAACAAGGGACATTTTTTAATCAGACTGCTTCTAAGACAATGGCAATTGTGTACAAGTCAATTCAACTGAAGTTTGAATAAGTATTTCGCTCAAAATAATCAACTTCATCCAAAAGTGGCTTATCAGTACACAACCCAGTCTCAATGAATAAAGTTCAAGGCTAACAGCTTCCAGCAAACTCGGTCTGTATTGAATGAGTCACTAATGCAATTCACTCATTGCTATATAAAATGAACAGATCAGGTTCACGCCTTTTTGAAAACTGAAAAATGTATTAAATGATACCTTAAAAAGAATTATTTGGACGAGGGGAGCCACTCTTTTGTTAGATTGATGTTTTATCACTCACAGCAGAAGGCAACCAAAGTGTTCGGGGCCAAAAATTCCGCAAAATGTGTATTTGTGTTACCTGTTAGTCATGTTCATGCCCCAGAGGCAGCAGCAGCAGCAGCAACAACAACAAGAAGAGAAGAGGCGGCAGGCAGTCCCAGCATCCCATGAGTGAGTGAGCGTGTGTGTTTGTGTGCATGTGTGTGCATAACTAGCATGAGTGCATGCGTTTTCCTGGCACTCACCTTTGTAGACGTTGAGTGTGATGGTGCGGACTGCGATGCGGACCATGCTTTCAGGGTGGTTGAAAAACTTAATGGCCTCGGTGTACAGGGCAAAGTCATTAGTGTGCTGTGTGTGGGAGACAGAGAGGGGGTGCCGGTGAGCAAAGCATGGCATTGCACCGCCGGGCTTTGGCCACAAATGACCACAGAGAGAGAGAAAAAGCAGCTAGTGTAAATAGAAATGATTAACACTGGGCCTGACACCTTGGTCGAGAAAAACAGGCTTTTGTTTTTAATCTAATTGAGACTTGGAGTGAAAATGTAAAATAAAAAAGTGTCCTTACCTCGTGGACCAACTCAAACCCTAAAGAGTTCATGATAATATCTTATTACTCTGTCATTTACAGAAAGTAAAAGAACAGTGGGAGTTTGATTTACACCATATCATACATTCGGGTATGACCCCTCACAAGCTGTGTATCTTATAGTCTCTCTCTGTGCCAGTGACTGATCCTCTACTCAAGCATTCCTCAATCACTGGGACCTTCAACCAGCAAAGAGTCACCGGGAGGTCACAGGAAATGAGGAAATCTGACCCTGAAACTGAACCCGAACCCAGAGTTTGAACTCTAGTTTTAGAGCTGCGCAGATCTGACAGCAACAGAAGAGACCAAATTTACTATCCAACAGCGCCATCTGGAGGCCAACACAGCTATATATCGCCTATAAATCCCCAAATCATAAATGAATTAGGACGAGAGAGAGATTAATTGTACATATGACATCCAAAGTGTTGCTATTGAAAATTATGAAGAAAAGCAGCTTGTGATGACATTTTAAAATAGATTTGAATTCAGATTAACAGAATGTGTGAAGTTTCTTATAGGAAAGGTTTAAACAACACACAGAAGCTCATATGTACCCTGAAGCAGTTTACGGTTGTTTTAATTCCTCCTCACTCTGGTTACATGGATATCCCTTTTTAATCTGCTTCAAATTAAAGTCTTTGTTCTGAGTAAAAACAAGTTGTAACGTTTATCTATTTTTCATTCCAAAGAGGAAGATTTTTCTTTTTTTAATAATTGATGAATAACATTCAGTAAATAATCATCAAATAAAGTTTTTTTTAAACTATATAAACGCTCATATCTACACTCTGGGTCTGGCTTTAGTTTCAGGGGTCCAGCTACCATCAACAGTACACCAATAACTTTCCCCAGCACACACAGGCCAACTTAACGACTACAGATGTTACAAAGAAGGGCAACAACAACATCATCAGAGATTATTCAGATATACAGTAGTCTTTGATATTACCATCCATTGCCACACACATACACACACATCACCAACTGACTTCACTCTCAGCCTCTCCTCTTTCGTCCCTTCTGTCCTCTTTGTCTGTCCTCGAGAGTTCACAAGAAGGGTTGTGGTCACAAAGTGATAGATCTTCTATGCTTCACCCTTGTTGCAATCCCTCTCTCACCCCATTTTTCTGTAGCCTTACCTCATTGTAGAAGAAGTGCACGGTGTGGTTGTTGAGTTTGAGTGAGAGGGTCTTGAGAAAGGAGATGTAGTAGGCCATGATCTCCTCGTCTGAGAAGTCAAACTTGTGGACAATGATGGAGTTCACATGGTTGTTCGACAAGAGGTAATCTAAGGGTGAAGAGAAGAGTAATAATCAACCTAATCACGTTTGTTCATATGGAATACATCTTAGCAGAGGAAGGCATTTTTTAGGAGCAAGCACTCAGGCTCTCTCAGTGTCCATCCACTAACCATTCCAGCAATTTGAAAACACCACAAACCACAAATAGAAAAAATATTCTATTCTAACACATAATAGAAACATCTTAGAAGCTAATTATATTTAAAAGTCCTCCCAACATTGCCGCAGCCTCAAAACACACCACATGTCCAGACAAAGCAGCAGTCTCAAAATGTTTCTGTCTGGGCTTTTTTTTACTGAAATGCAATACATCATGCATGTGTTTATTTCTAATACTTACATAAAGACGTCTCATGGCTAATGTTCTCAAACAGAATGTTGAGGGTCTGAAGGAGTTGGACGCAGACGTAGCGTCCTGATTTCTGGCGCAGGATGTTGAGGAAGAAGGCAAACATATTCTTCTCCAGAAAGAAGCTGAAAACATAAAGGAGCGCATAAAAATATACAGGATTCACCATTAAAATCATCTTGAAATGATAACAATTATAGATATTTTTTAATAATTCAGAGTATTTCTTGTTCCCCAATATCAATGAAGCCTGCAGGACTGTTTGCTGCATCTCATTACCGCACTTCTTTATCTACATTTCTTATCTGTCTCCACTGTAGCTATCAAATAAAACATAAAAATGCTCAGAAGATATATGTATTTTCTTTTAATGAAAGGATTATTATCACAGTGACCCAAATGAGTCTGAATCTCAGTTCAACTCTTACATCCATGTTACTGGTTTAAAAAGTTTCAGCACCAATACAACAAATAATCAAACAGCTACTAGCTTAGAAATATTTATGTAACCATTAACTTCGACTCTTTCAACATCCTCTGTGGCGTCTCTGCTCTCTAAAGCCATTTCCTGTTTCATATGATAAAGCAAGAGGTTTCATGAGTTTGAATCCCCGAGGACTGAAACGCTTCAGTGGGTTGTCTTGTACAAACTGCCACTTAACTGCACAGAGTTCTTTTCTGGTTTTTCATTTCTGGTTTTTCATTTCTGGGACTGATATCTATGAATGTGTGTAATCTGGTGCAGTTTGATTGAATTTAAGGGGACTGTTGGGCCTTGAGTGTGGTATGCGCTCTACATCCTTGTTTAATTATGTTTAAGTCTGCTCAAGTACTCTTGTTACTTCTTTGTGCTTTGAGTCAGCATGCCAAGAAGTAAATTAGTGATGTCACACACAGCTTTGAAGGGTTTGCACTCAGTGACTCAGTTCTCAAAGTTGCTGAAGAGTTGCTACCTTTGAGCATAAATTTAACAAGAATGATCTATTAGTGTTAGTTATAAAGTTGGAGAGAGTCTTTCGAAGTTGAGGTTTGTTGGTTCAAAGATAATCAGATAATCTGATTAAAATAAGCACGGCTGACATTTAGGCACTATTTGAAAATGTGCTGTTCATTAGTTTTGACATGTGCATTCTCTCATTGCATAGATGTGAGGTTATAAAAGTTTGTGCACAAAACTTGTGCTGTATCTCTGAACCACATGCACATTACATCTATAACTGAGAGGACATTGACTGGAACTTACTCAAACACAGAGCTGTCATTCTGGTCGCCCCAGATGAGGATCTCTGTGATGGAGCGGATGGTCTCCACTAGTAGGTTTCGATTGTGGTCGGTCACTGTTGTGTTTTTGGTCAGGACGTGGTACATATACCTGATGGAGAGGAATGGAGAGAAAGTGTTAGTGCTTAGATATACATGTTTACACTGATAGTGATCGAAGGGTAACCTGATGGTACACAACTGTTCCTGGCCTCTCTCTCTTCTCTCCCTTCTTTTCCACCCTCTCCTCCCCACTTTTCTCTGCTCACCCCAACCAGCCGAGGCAGATGGCCGCCCACATTGAGTCTGGTTCTGCTGGAGGTTTCTTCTTCCAGTTAATGAGAGTTTTCTCACAGTGCTGCTCATTGTGGGAACTGATGGGTTCCTCTATGAATTTTAAAGTCTTGACCTTCTATGTAAAGATCCCTGAGATAATATATTATGATTTAGCGCTTTACAAATACAGTTGAATGGCTGGTTTCTATAAAATTGATCTGTCATGGATCCACAAATGAAGCCTCAACACACACACACACACACACACACACACACACACACACAC